AAATGTTTCCAATTACCAAAATTTTTAAATCTTGACAAAATTTCACATTTTTGCCTAAATGCTTAACATTTAAAAAAAAAACTTAAACCAAAACGAGTTAGTATTCAAATAAATAATATATTCAAAACAAAATTTATAAAAAATAAACAAACTACTCACATAAAAAATTAAAAAAAAAACTTAATAATAAACTAGATTAAATGGTGTTTCCAAAAGACCATTTGTAAACGTGTTGTGCTTTTTCTAGATTTTAACAATTATAAAAAAACAAACATTAAAATATATAAATATATTTAAAAATTAATCAAAATATTCAAACTTTCAAATAAATGGTATTGTTTTACGAAAAATTAAAAAAAAAAATTATATATACATAAAAAACAAAAAAAGGTAATTTTTATACGTGCACTAATAATTATTTACATGTATTTAGATTTATATATGTATAAATTTAAAAAAAAATATTAACAAAAAAATAATATGCAATTATAAAGTATGTATTTTATAGAAAACTTATGAAAACAGAATAAAACTACTATTTTAATTAAATTTTCAAAAACCCTAAAAGTAGTTTGTGTTTTTTAATACCAATTATTAAAATTATTATAATTTAAGCAATATTTTTAGTAAGTTTTAGTATTATTTTAGAACTTTTTCATTTTATGTTGAATATTATTTTTTATTACATTTAACTACTTAACAAATTTTTGTATTTTAAAACTTCCCTTTTGTCACACTTAACGCTCTTTTTAGAACTTAAATTAATAAATTAAAAAAAAAATATAATAAAAAAACAATATATAAATTTTTGCTGTGATGTATGTTAAATTGACAAAAAATATTAAAAAAAATAATAACAAATTATATTGTAATAATTGATACACTTGAACAAAAAAAATTAAAAAAAAATGTTTTTCAAAAATTTGATATTTGAAATAGTACACTCACTCACAATTCTTTCTTCCTTTTTAAATAAATGCATGTTTTAAATACCAAAAAAAGAAAAAATAATAATAAATGCATATTTAATGAAAAAATAAAATTGATTTATGTTGTTTTTCTAATATTTTTAAATCTAATAGAAATAAAGAAGTTATAGGAGAATCAAACTAATAAGGTAAAATAGATTTAATGGACTTTTCTCAGACAGACATTTCATATACTCTCCTCCAATGCATATTACTACATGGGTGATACACAAATCTGCTGCTTTCTTGAATGCACTTTGTATTTCTTAAATATTTTCAAAATGTTACCTGTGTTATCATTATGAACACACATGAGTTTAAAAATATGATTAGACGAAAACACTGAATAGTTTTGTAATCAGCTAAATGTACCTCGTTTAGGGAAATTTATTCATAATTTCAGCTGCTGTTAAGACATTTCCGTAGCTACTTAAAAATCAATTTTCTACAGAATTTTACAAATGTTTTCAACATCTGTGTCTCTAAAGGGCGACTTATGTAAATCTCCATAAAGTAGGTACGTATTAACAGACAAGTTCCATATTGTAATCGCTAATAAGAATTCTTAGAGTAATAACTTCTACGAAAGATTTCTCAGTTTCATTTTGTTTTTAAAATGAAATCCAAATTTATTTCAATAATATAAAATTAAAATGTTTTTTGAGACATTCTATTCTAAACACTGAAACCCCTTTTTGGCCATATTTGAGAACATATAAAAGCGCGAAGACATCTTCATTTATAAAATCCATTCTGTCGCCTGAAAGTCCAATCTGTCGTGTTTAAAATAAAGGTATTAACCTCTGTAATATATTCATCCTACCTCGAGATATCTTAACTTAAAGCTTGAAACAACTATAAATCCCCAAAGAATATATTTGCCTTTATTTTATGGCAAAGCGTCATCGGACGATATCCTTCGCAAGAACAATGGAATTGTGACTTTTAACCCCTCAATTAGGTCCCCAAGACGAAGCCCTATACTCATTAAGTTATTTAAAATTTCCTAAATAGAAATTGAAATGTTTAAAAATGAAATATAAAACAAGAAAACAGCAAAAATAGTTAATTGTTAGTAATTAACAACTTTCTTCATAAAATCCCGATTTTACCATAAAAATCATAAAGAAATAAAAAAATTTCCAATGAAAATTTCCAAATTTTTTTGAACAAATACAGTGGTAGACATTCGTTTGTACGCAATATATTTTTTTAACTTTTGAAAGAAAGTAAAAAGTGTTTTAAGAAAAAAGGTTTGCGAAATAGTTTGATACTATCTTCGTTACAAAATTATAATATAAAATTGTAATATTATTTGCTCTATTAGCAATTCCAGAGAAAAAAATCAAATTTGTCTGAGACATTCGTTTGTACGCACTTTACATAATTTATAATAACCATACAAATGATTTGTACATTTCTCTTTTTCTTATCATAACATTTAGTAGGACCTCCATAATTGTTACTGACATAATAGATTTCATTAGATTTTGGATAGGTCAATTTTTAAAGCGCTTCAAAAAGAATTTCCGAAGGTCATGCTTAAAAAATTTTTTATGTTATTTAAATGCTAAAAAAGTATGTTTTTTTAGTTTATAAATCTTTTCAGCTATGATTTTAAGAATGATTTTGATTGGTTGTGTCTTAAAATTCCGCCTGGTTAAGGAAGAGAATTAAAATATTTGTCGGAAAATCAATCCAAACCCTTGTCAAATACCCATTTTTGGATAGAAATTGAATCTCGAGTCGCAATTTTTCATTATTTTTTCAGCTAAACAGTCTTTTAATGAATCAAAGAATATTCCAAATCTAATTTTGGGTGAAAAAATTCCGATGGAAATCTGAAATTTGTATAAGAAACATGTCTAATGCACCACAATTTCCCAATAGAAATGTAATTTGTACTTCTAGCGGCGTTTTGGTTCAATTCGCACAATACGTTATTGTAACGACTTAGATAATATAAGTTTAACTTATTTTCACTTGAAAATATTAACTTTTAGAAATTATTCATATCCGATATCGGGCCGTATGGAGAGTGCAGTTTTCTCTCCTTATGAATCTTAATAAATCTTGGTTTACAAGCAATTCTTAACACAGTAATGACTAAATCAAGGATAAAGGAATGATAATAGATCTTTTATTGCAAGGAGTATAATTTTTGTCTTTATTTCATTAAGAAAATAGGGATTTTGTGTCATAATTTTTAGTTTTTTTGTAACATTACTCTTGTAAAATCGAGTAAGGAAGCCATTTTTTAACAGTTTTTCATAGTTTTATGCTATTTTTAATACAGCATGAGTATCTATTACGAAATATTAAAAAATCTTGTTCAAAATAATTCAAAAATTTGACATTTTGATAAAATATTTCCTAATTTAGCTTCGACAGCGATCAAATCGCAATTTCTACAAATAATATATCTTTATAAAGATTTTTATAATTCGTATGGCTATAAAATATATTAATTTTATATCTAAACCCCCAATACTCGCTCAAAAGAATTCAATTATTCTCGTAAAAGTAATAATTACATGACTGCGTACAAACGAATGTCTCAACGAAAATAAATTTTTTGTCTGATATTTTTATTAGAGAAAAATATTTTATAATATTTTTCTTCAATATTTATAAAAATACAATTAAATTGAAAACCCAAATTAATTATAGCAAATATGAATTATTCTTCATTTTATTTCACTTTAAGGCACTTTTTAAATCTTTACTTTATGAAATTATTCTTTTTCTGTTTTATCCTACTTTATAATTGGACATTCACATGAGAATGATAGTTTGACATTGAATACGAAATAAATTAACATATGAAAAACAAACGTAAAGTTTTACAAGCGTTTTTAATGGAAATTACCAATTGCCTTTTTACACAAGTGTAAACTAATACAAATGTACACATTTGTAAAATTTTAAATTTTTTTGGGCACGAAAAAAATTAAAATGTGTTTACAAATACTAGAAATTATTCACAATTATATAAATTGATCGTAAACCAAAAACAAGTCGTTGCATAAATTTGACTCGAGAACAGAGTGAAAGAGAATATTAGTAAAATTGGATAATAATAATTAGAAAAGAAATATGTTTTATTTCAGATTTTGAAAATTAAATAATTTTTAATTATTTCATTTAGTTTTTTTCTATAATTTATCTACACATGTTTACAAGTACCTACATATATGTATGTATGTACATACAATGTACATATGTATGTATATTTTTCTATATGGAGATAAAAATACATTTTTTCAACCTGAACTGAATAGAATAAATTAATAATGAAAAGGATAGAGATGTAACATGAAAAAAATGTGTATTTACTTTAAAACTATACTGCCTGCATTTCAATTTCCCATAAGAAGTGCATATGTACATATGTGTGTAGATAAACTAACTGAAATTTAAGAGTCTAAAATTTTCAGGCATTTTCCCTTTTGTTCGCAGCTGAAATAAACGGATTTTTTGTTCACATGTGTTTAAACAGAGATAAAATTTAAAATATATCAAATACAGGTAGATCAGCTTACCTGTCCTCAATGCGATAAGAAGAACCTAAAATTGTATGTTAACATAACATACATACAACATTAATAGTACCAACATTTTACAGCTCTGTAAGAAATAAATTTAAAAAATCATCAGTGGTGCTAAATACGTTCTCAAATAATTATTTTTGTAAATAAAGGTATTTTTTGTGAAATACACAAATTCAATTAGATATTATTGTTTACTTTTCTCTTGAACAAGCAAGTTTTGTTGTTTTTATTACCCTTTTAATGCATAACACAATTTGCCCGCACCAGCCTGCACTGTTAATCAATAACTGCGTAAGCAGTGACTCCTAAACTGTATTCACTTATCAGTCACCCTAAAACTACCAACCAGAGCGAGAGAGATGGAGTAACAACACATGTTTAACGGAAGTTTTATAGTTTATCTCTTTCTTTCGTAGGTATTCGAAAATTGGTGTATTTTTAATAAAAACTAGCTGCTTCGTCATTTCGTTTTTAAGTTTATTCGAAAGAGTCATGGTATAAGGTTCGGAGAAGGCGTTACATACGCAATACACACAATATTGAAAAAATATAAAAAAAAAAATTAAAAAAAAGAAATATTTAAGTGAAATTTCAAAGTTTGAATACACAAAAATAATAGTAATCTATCTGTTATAATTATTATTAATTAAATATAATTTGTAATAAGTGATAACAAATCAAATTTAATAATACTACAAAACCAACAACAAATTCAATAATAAAAGAAAATCTATATATATGTAGATATCTATTATTTATATATGTATGTGGTGAAAATTTAATAAAAAAAAGTTTAATTCGAAAATAGTACAACGAGTGAAGCTATCAAAAACACAAATTAAATTTATAATTAAAGTTAAACAAAAACAACAACTCTACAGTTTTTAAAATCGTTGAAATAATTTTCAATAAAACAATTTCAACGTTAAAAATATCTTGTGGGTTTTACTCGTTTAAACGCGGAAACGTCGGTAAAGCGGAAATTAAAGCTGAAATTAGAAACAGTTATACAAAAAAAAAAACAATCTAAAAACCGTCGTCAGCATATAAATTGTACAAAATTAAAATCTGCAATATAGACAGTATAAAATATAAGAAACCAACATCCATACATACAAAAAATAAATTTCCTATCATCGTTTTTTCATAAAAAGCAAAAATAGTGTGATTTTTATTTTGTTTCTTCTTCGGTACCTTGTTTTAGTTAAAATTGAGGTTGAGAGCTAAAAAACAAAACAAAGTGAAATAAATATTTTTCTGTAAAAGGCTACAAAATAAAATCGTAAGAAACAACGAGTGTTCAAGCGTAATCAATATTGCTGAAACAACACTTAAAATTATACAGAAAACACTTTGTAAAGTAGAAGAAAAAATTCCCTCAAGTTTCGTAAAAAATTTTTTTGTGATATTCGAAAAATTTCCCACTACGTAACGAAGGTGATTTCTTCTTTCATTTATTTAATTTTTATTGTGTATTTTAACGCAACAACAACAGAAGCTAGCCATCTCTTGTTTTTTTCTCACAACACACACTACTCTGGGAATTTTATTACAAATTTACAAGATACGTGCGTGAGAAAGAGACAGACAGCATTACTACGGTTTTAATCAAAATAAAAACGACGACACCAACAAAAACACAACAACAACGACGACAACAAGAAACTAAATGGTTTACAAAGTCTAAAGTAAGTACAACAACAAGAAAAATTTATTATTTTTACGTTATTATTATTGTTTTTATTTTTAAAATGTATTTATTTGTGTTTTTTATTTAGTATTTGCTTTATATTACTTTTTATAAAAGTTGAATGATGTTTAGGTAAAAATCGATTATTATTGTTTTTTGTGTGTTTAACGCAGGAAAATTGCTAGAAAATCACGTTTTCTAAAAAAATAAAAACAGTAAAGTAAAAGTGGCAACGTAGCTTAAACGTTATTGAGTACAAACATAAACACATATACAACTACAAACGTCTACAGACTGCAAATGGCTACGTTGCCAAGTTTCACATTTAATTTGTATATCTATTGGAGGTCGTTTTTTTTCTCCCAGTTTGTAGTAAAAAAAGTTATTGCCGTGTAAGCAAACATAATTTGTTGTTGTTGCTAGTCTTCTGGCTATATACCTCTTTTATAAAGATATGTACATACATATGTATGTTTGTAGTTATGTACAGTGAATTATGGGTAGTAAGTAGACTTTATATAGAGTAGACAATAACAAACTACCCTCTTTTTTGAGTACTAAAAAATTTTCGAATTTTTTATAATGTAAACATTTCATTGAAACTTTCGTTAAAATTTAGGCAATTTTTTAATTTAAAAAATTTAACAATAATTATGCAAAAGTAGCGAATTTTTAAAAAAAAAGCGATACTTTTCTTAATTTAATTAAACTTTAAGCTGAAATACAAATAATATTTGAAATTTATAGTAATTTAGGTAATTTAAAAATCGCAAAACAAAAAAAAGATTATTTATACCTACCTTATCTACGTAATAAATTCTGTCATTTTCAAAATTTTTTAATTTCATTTAATTTTTTTTAATTCTATAAAGATATTTCTTTATTATTTTACATGAATAATTTTCATTAAATTTTTTTTAATAACTTCAAGTTAAAATATTATTTTTGTAGTAAATTTTAAAACCTAAAAATAAATAGTTAATTGCAATTTCTGTCAATTAGCCATATTTTTTAAAATTTTATGATTTTTATTTTGTATTTAAAATTTTTTAAAGATTTTTTATAATTTAAAATAAATTTTAGATGTAGTACTTTTTCCAAAGAATTCCCGTGATTTTTTAAAGCTGCAAATTTATAATAATATACCTAGATATTATCGAATTTTCTTTTGTGATTTAAGGATATTTTTTATTTTAAATTGTAATTTTGAAATTGAAAAACTAAATTAAAAAGTGTGATTTTAATGTAATGCTTTAATCCTGAGAATACCTATTGTATAGGAATATTTTTGTTGAAAATATCAATCGACAATTGTACAGTTCAAACTAAAACCAAAACACTATAGGTACCTAGATATCAGACTTTTTTTTGCATTATGTACGTATGTGAAATGAACGATTTATATCCTATTAATGCCTTGGAAGTTATCAATATTCACTATAAAGTCAAAAGTTTGTACAAATTTCAATATAGGTACCTATTTATAAAAATTTTACATTGAAAGTGGAAAACTAAATTAAAAATTTTATTTTTAATAGATAAAAATTTAGTGTTTTATCAGATTTAGAGCTTTAATTTTGAGAATATCCTACTAAATAACAGTCCCACAGTAATATCTAAAATTAATATTGTAGATAAGTTTTTAAAATTATATTTTAATTTACTTCCCTATGCTAAACTCTCAAATATGTTTGTACCTATTAAATTTGTCAAAATTCTGTATCAATAAACATGTTGTATTAAAATCTGATAGTTTCTGATATAATTCCTATAGGTAAAAATGTATACTACCTATAAAGAAAATTAATAAAAAAATATTTAAATTTTTTACTTAGCAGATACCTATATAGAAGATCTTATTTATATTAAAATAAATACAGAATAGATTTAAGATTAGAAATAACTTTAAATTTTTTTATAATAAAAACTTTGTAGGTATGTACTTAATATTTTTAATACCTACTTGATTAAAACTTTTTTATATTCCGGCCTTTCTATACTACGCTTGTATGCAACTGTGATTAAAGCAATGCTTTTTAAACTGTAATTTGAAAACATGTCAAAATATTGTACGACGTATTTGCCAGATTTTGATCAATTTCTTTTCATTAATTTAATTTAAATGCCATAAAAATATTAAACCATACTTTAGTCGTTAAAATAGCAAAAATTAGTGAGTTTGTATTAATAATTTTCATCATACTTACATATTTTTATTATAATTTTTATTTTTAAGTAATTTTTAACTAAGTTCCTTTTTTTTCTTTGGTTTCTCTTTTTCTCTCCCCACCACCCCGAAAACCTGAACATATTTAATTTTCATCTATAAAGGACCAACATTTAATGCGCAATAAAATACATCAATATAAAAGAAAAGAGAGAAAAGCAGCAGTTAGGAAAGGCTATAAATTGGAGGATCATCGTTCTAACAATAGTTAACGCCAGTGACGACAAAAAGAAGTCTAAAGAAGAAGATAACGACGATAAAGCGTTAGCTAAGGATAAATACAACAACAACAAGTTTAAACAAATCAACAGACTGATTAAATTTATAATAATAAAAGATAATATAATAATTTATATATAAAAAACGCAACTATATATAGAAAAGTATATAATAAACAAATCTTATATATAATATTGTAAATAAGAAGCTGAAAAAGTCGAAGTCGACGTAGTAGAGAAGAAGGAATTAAGGAAGTGCGGCGAGAACTTGAAAGATACAGACGACGAGGTAGGAGAAGAAAGAAAAGCAGGACTCGCAGAAGAGAAAAAAATAAAACAAAAAACATTTATTTAAATAAGCGTTGATTTTATTGTGTGTGATATTTAAATATTAAGCATTAATTTAAAAAACAAAAAATCCAAACAAAATTTTGAAGAGAACAGTTAAATAATAATAATCAGACAAAGATTACAACAAATAATAAAATAAAACAAATAAACATAAACATAAAAATTACTCAAGAACCAAATCGGAAAACAATAAAAATTGTACTATGACATACTCGCACAATAGCGTTAGTAAAAATCTGAAAATGACAACAGCAGCAGCAACCGCGGCGGCGGCGGCATCAATACGTTCGAAAAATGGAGCAGGAGGAGCCGTTAAAACCAGCGGAGGCGGCGGCGGCGGTAATTCACCACCATCAACACCACCCCTTAGTGCACATTCCAACAGTATTGCTAGCAACAGTACAAATTATCACCATCATCATTATCACCAACATCACCAGCCGATGCTGAGTAGTTCTCCTCCCGGCAGCAACATGTCTTCGGCCATATCAACCAGCTCAAATTGCAGCAGCTCCTCCAGTGTATCATCCGTTGGTTCCAACAGCAATGGTAGCAGCAGCGGCTATTTCGCATCAATGCGCAAGCAACAACGCCAACAGCAGCAGAGACGCTCGCCCCAACAGCAACATAACGATAGTGGCAGCTATTTTAACAATAACCAGAGCTATCATTACCAATCGCAACAACAACAGCCGGGCAGTGGGGGAAAACGTTATTCCGGCAGTGGCGGCAGTTCGCAAAAGTATCGCGATGGGCAGCGATCACCACAGAACCATCAACGCCAATCGCCCGCCTCAATTTTGGGTGGAGGCCTAAGTATATCACCCACTATGAACAGCAGCAGTGGAGGTAACAACTCGGCTCGCAAGCCACGCTCCAAGCACTCAAGCCCTTTGCTGTGTATTGGTGGCGGTGGTAAGATCTCACCTACCCATCCTCTCATTCCCACCGCCCTCACTCACTTTGCCGGCAGCAAGTGTTTCGATGCCCCAGCACCCACTGCTTTGCCCAAACCACCTGAACATTGGACTGGTAGTAAGAGCGCCGAGAAGGCGGTCGCCAGCAGTGCTGGCCCCGGCCTCCAAAGTGTTTTAAACGCTGCCTCTGCCAGAACTCCCAATCACACTCATCATGCCCATCATCATCTACAACACCATAACCATGGCTATGCTCATGATTCTCATAGTTATGGCGGCCATGTGGTCAAGTCCTCGAAGCGCAATCTGCTCGATGATTTTGATACGCACAATTTGAAATTGTTGCTAAATGTGCAATCGTAACCGCATTGTTAATATTTTAACTCAATTAAAATAAAAATAAAGTAAAAACGCCAATAAAACTTAAAAACAATAACAACAACAGCAACTGCAAACAATGTTTTAACTTTTTTAACAGCAACAACAACAAAATCCGTCAATAATTACAACAAAATATATCTATACATATAAAAAAAACAAACAATAATCCAAAATCATCACTCTATGCCCAGCAGCAGCAGCCGCAGCAGAGTTGCTAAGGACTAATGAATAAATCCCAAAAGAAAAATTATAGAATTTATCCCATTTAATGGATGGATGATGGTGGGCAACACTCTGGTCTGTCTGTCTGAAAGGCAAGTGCTTGTGATCTCAAGTTTATTACAAAGCAACTAAAAATAAAAATATATTTTAACTTTAAATTAAAATAAACAAAAACAAATGCAAAATACACTAAATCATCATATAATTTTAAATTAAATAAACAACAAACATACAAAAACAACAAAAATAAAATGCCAAAAAATGCAAAATTCATAATCATCAATTTATAATAAACAACAAAAACAAACTCTAAAACAACTGTGACTTTATATAAATTATTAATAATTTTATTTAATTTAATTTGAAACCAAAAAATCAAAGAAAGAAAAATCTTTAAAATCTACAACATAAAAAAGTGCTAGACAAAAACAATAAACATTAGTTTGGAAATGGTTTAAAAAAAAAAAAAAACAAAAGAAAATTAATTATGAACAAATCTCAAAATAAATTAAACAAATTTCCCTCAACAACAATAAATTATTACTTAATTTGATTTCGAAAGTGATATTTAAATAGACTTTTAAAGACAAAATTTAAATAAAAAAAAAAAATAAAATGATAAAAAACACTCAATAATAAAAACCAAAAACTTAAATGACAGCAACAACAAATTTCAGTTAAAAGTATAAAGAAGAAATATTTAAAAAAGCCCACCAAATAAAAAACATTTGCAAAGTAACAAAAGAAAAAGCTAAATATAATGCAATAAAAAGAAGACATTTTCTAAAAACCAAAAGACTCAAAATAAATTTAAAAAATTATAATAACAAAAAGGCTTTTTCGGTAACACAACCACAAAAGGAAGAGACAACTAACTACAAAATGTTACTCTTGCCCTCCTCTTACGAGACAACAACTACACGTAAACAGTTCAACCAATAAAAGCCTTAAAATCTTACAACAACAACAACAACAACAGAAAGCTTTTCAACAACTGTAGCCTTAACTACAATAACAGAATAGCAGCAACAACAACAAACAACAGGAAAAGGACATTAGCAGGATCTTCAGCAGCATAATTCAACTTTAAAATACTTAAATTATAATTAAAATGAAAACAAACATATTTTATTTTCGTTTAAGATAAGTAAGCCTTATTATTGATTGACCCAACCCGACCCGCCCCTTTCCCCTCTTTCACAGAAACGTATTGATTTAATGTGTATAAAAGATTTGAGATTTGTATAACAACAACTAAAACAAAAAGAAGAAGACATAACAGAGATAAAAAAGCCAAAACATTACTATTAGTTTTGTAAATATTATTTTGTTTTTTGCTTTTTTATGCTTTAATCAACAACAATTTTCCCTTTAAACTAGAATTTTTTTGTTTTCTTTTATTTTTTGTAATTATTTTATTTTTTCTTTTCTGTTTGCAATATCATCAACAATTTTGTGTAGCAATTATCAACATTACAAATTTAGTTTTACTTATTTATTTTTATGTATATTTTTTTACTTTCCCCTTCTTTCTCTCTCATAAAAATCTTTTCTAAAGGCTTTTGTATACGAAAGAGAGTTTACTAAAAGAGAAAATGTTAAGAAAAATAACAAATGATAGTGAGTGATTAAAAGGGAACTTTATGACAAATTAAACTGTGATCAGTGATGGCAACTTTAATTTTAAATATAAATAATAAACAGCTAAAAAAACGGAAAAATAATTGGGTCAATGATTTTGATAAGAGTTATTTTTTATTTTTACAAAAACACAAATTTTTTAGTACTTCTTTTGAGATAACTTTAAATATTTAAATATAGTTCATTTTATCACAAGTAAAATTAGCAAAATATGGTTTATTTTAAACTTTGCTTTGGATAAAATTTATTTTTCATTTAATTTAATTTCGTCGAGAACACTTTCAAGTAAACATTGGCCCTATTATTGAAATTTTTAAAAATCATTTAGTATGATTAATAAATTTTATTAAAACCAAACTTAAATATTTGTTTTTCAAGTATAAACAAGTAGACATTTTAAAAGTTAATCTTTAAATTATTTACCTGTTTGTTAATTAAACTTGATTGAAATTTATTTCGTTTAATAAAACCAAATCTGGCATTCATCATAAGTATTCAAATTTTTTGGAATGTTTAAACAAAAAGTTGTCATTGTTGTCTGTGATATTTTCTACAATTTATTTTGTCATAATTTAAAGCTTTAGTTTTAAAGAATTAATACTTTTGTTTATAAAAAGAAAAGTTCTTTAAACAATTTCTTCCCTTTAGTTAAAGTAATAAGAACATTTTTCTATTCTTCTCTCTTCCTCACTCTCTCTCGTTTATTTGAGCCTTTGGTATTTGTTTAAAATTTAAACTTTTTATTTTTTATCTAATATCTCTCTCTAACTCTAAATATATATAATAATTATATATATATATATATATATATATATATATATATTTGTAAATGTAAATTTATATTATAAAACAGCTTGTAAAACTTGAGCCTTTTTATTGTTTCAATTTTCAAAAATTTTTTCAATATTTTCGAAAGGCTGCAAGTTAAGTGATTTTAATGATAAATTAAGCTATTCAAAAATGTTTTTAAAACATATGTGTGATGATTAACTTTTGTAATTAATTTGAAAAAGAAAAATATAGTTTTATTTTATTATTATTTTTTTTTTTTTTTTGTAAAAAATGTATAATTATTAACTAAATCAATCACTGCGCTAGGAAAGAGCAAGTCCAAAACAAATTTTATAATTTTACTTAAAATGCTTGGAATATTTTAAAGAAATTTATAATTGCAAATTAGGAAATGTATTAAGTTAGCAGCAGATTTAAAATGAGAGATTTATACAAAAAAAATTTCCCTCAAGTTGATGAAATTGTTATAAGATCTCTTAAACAACCATTTATCTTATAATTTCTCTTAAATTTAAAAATTAAAGCCTTTTTTATAGTGTTAAGTAATTTTATTAAGAACTTTTCTTTCACTCTAAAAATCTTTTCTTTTTTGTTTTATATTTTCTGTTTAAGGGATTTATTATTTATTCTTCTTTCTTTTTTTCAATATACTTCCAAACCCCCCCGCCCAAGTCTCTTTTTTTATATATACTACTAACTATTATTATATACGATGATGTATAGAAAACAAAAATATAATGATCTGATCTAATTTGTATATTAGACATGTATTACTTTTTATTTGATTCTCGTAGTGTATTTTTACAACCAAATCTAAAGAAAACATTTACAAAACTTAAACCCAGTACCTTGTTTTTTGTTAGCATTTAATATTATAAATTATTTAATAAACGTAAATACATAATAACAAATTAAAAGAAAAAAAAAACACAAAAAATATAAACTTTAAAACAAATGTAATTAGATATTTTTTGTATTTAAAACATAAATATAATAAAATTAAATTTAAATAAAAAAAAGTTGAAAGACAACTGCAAATACAACGTAAAACTCAATTGATGAAAAGTCTTTATATTTAATAAAAATCAAAACAACAATAACAACGATATTAAAAACTAAATTAATGAAAACTGCTAATGTTTTATAAAATAACAAACAAATAAACAAAAAAGATTTTAAGGTTAACACTTTATATTTTATGTCTTATTAAAACATAAAGAACAAACACGTCCCGTTTATATAAACATTTTGTTAATAAGAAAAAAATAACTAAAAACAAGTTGAAAAAAGCCAAAAATTAATAAATGCACTTCATTTTGTACAAATTATTAGATTTTTCTTTAAAATTAAATTATTTTTTAAACTAAGTGTTAAATAACAATGTAATTTTATCTAGTTTTCTTTTTGTTGTAACTTCTTTTTAAAGTTTTTTCTTTACTTTGAAATGAAAACAACTTTAAATGAATTAAATGAAATTATTAAAACGTGATATTTGTATGCAATCTTAAGTTTAAACTGATAAAGGGAGAGCAGTGCTCTTCGTCGTACATACATTTTAACATAAATACAAAGAATTTTGCATTTTATTTTTATTAAATTTAAAAAACAAACAAAAACACAACAAATTTTTATTACTATTCCTAACTTTTATCTTATCTTATGCTTTTCTTTTATTTTATTTTTTTTTGCTTTCATATCAATATAACGCAAATAGTCTTCTTTTAGGCCACAAAGCTTTTAAAAGGATTTTATGTTTTAGCTAAAATTTGTAAAAAAAAAATGTTTTTAAAATTCTACAAAATTATTGAAAAAAAAAGAAAAAAAAAAAAAATTAAAACTAAAACTAAATTTTTACTCTTAAACACCAAAAAGTACAAAATTCTATTAAAAAAGAAATGTTTTTTTATTAAGAGCAAAATATTATAAAAAACAAAAGTTAAACATAAAATCAGTTGAGAAGTTTAGCGGCTTTAATTATGTCAAACTATCAATTTTGTTGGAATGCAATAAATTTTTTACTTTTAATTTAAATTTTATTTAAAAAAACTAAAAAAATAAAACCCCACTACAACACACAGCCTTTAAGAAAAAGAAAATCTTTTATTTTTATTATTTTTTATTTTATAAACAATTGAAAAAAAAAATAATGTGAAACAAGCTTTAACAAAGACTTAAATACACACACACATTTATAATATTATTATTATGATTATTATTTTTATTTTATTATTTTTTATAACTACCAAGTTTTAAAACCACAAAAACAAAAACCTTTTAAAAAAGTATACTGCTTCAAAAAAACAAAAAAAAAAAAAAACGAAAATTAAAACTAAAACATACAAAACATCTATGTGTTATATTTATATAAGAAAAAAAACATTTTTAATTAAATAAATTTTTAAAATAAATTGCTAAATTTGATTTAATAAATGAATTAATTGATTATAAAACTAACTAAACTCTAAGAGTTTGATTAAATTTTAAACAAAATTCTTAAAAAAAAGCCTAAAAATATATTTTAAAAATTTGTTTATTTAAAAGCAAAAAGAGTGTATTCAATGAAAAATTAGAAACAAAGAACATCTTAAATAAAATATGCTCGAATATTAATTTAAAAACAAACTGTTTTTATTTTAATTTTTTTAAATAAACACAGTACTTCCAAACAAATAACTAAAAAATAAAATAAAA